TGTTGATAAACAAATGAAGAAGTCTTGTCTGTTGAACAGTTTATCCAACCCTATTTTTCCAATTCAAACACAGTTTTGTTTTATTCATTTAACCATACAAGAATTTCTTGCTGCAAGACATGTGACTGAAAAACTTGCTCCACCTGAAATAAAGAAGTTTATTTCCGATCATGTTGGAAGTGGTAGATGGCATTTAGTTCTTCAGTTCATTGCAGGACTTTTGGGTAAGAAAATCGAGATGTTTAAGTACAAAGATTGTGTTTCGGCGTTTGCAGAAAGTATCAAAGTTACTCATGGTGAAATTAAACTTAATTACAATCAAGTGTTTGCAATGACATGTTTAATGGAAGTGGACAATGGCAAGATTGCTAAAGAAGTTTGCGAGACAACTGCTTTGAACGATGTTGTAAGGCTTGATAATGATAATTATCGTGCTTCCCCAAGTGAAATGGTAGCGGTAAGTTTTTTTTGCGAACACATGAAAAACTTGGCAAGTTTAAAATTAGAACCGACCAATGCAGGCAGTGCTGAGGAAGTCCTAGAATTGCTGCAAAAAAGATGCATAAAGCAACTAGAATTGCGTGGATTCATTGGACTTTTGAACAGAGAACATGTATTCAGCGCATTAATAAAATTAAACTGTACGTTGAACCACGAACACACTAAGCTGACTTCATTAAAGCTCCCGACTTGTTTGATTACCGAAAGAGAATTACCAAACATGTGGATGTTTTTCAAAAATGGGCATGCAAGTCATCTTGAGGAATTATATCTATATCACTCCGCAGATTTATTTGGCATATCGAAACTTTATGAGGCCCTTAACAATGACAATTGTACAGAACTTACATGTCTGTACCTTCCATGTACAATTTTAGAGTACGAGGAGGCAAGTGTGTTGTTTGATACTCTGACTAAAGGACTTTGGAAGCTTACCAAGTTGGATGTCACTGCGTGTGGGTTAAGAGATCAATGTATTCCTACGCTTGTTAAGGCACTTCAAGATGAACGTTGTCAACTGACTGTTCTATTACTGGAGAAAAATGACATAGGTGATGAAGGTGCATGTATGTTGTTTGAAGATGCCCTGACAAAAGAGCATTGTAAGCTTACTGTGTTGAATCTTAGAATGTGTTGGTTAACGGATCAATGCATACCCAGTTTGTGTAAGGCGCTGCAAGATGAACGTTGTCAACTGACTCATCTAGCACTGGGGGATAATGACATAGGTAATAAAGGTGCATGTATGTTGTTTAATCATGCCCTGACAAAAGAGCATTGTAAGCTTACTAAGTTGGATCTTAGTTCGTGTTTGTTAAGATCTTGTTGCATATTCAGTTTGTGTAAGGCACTGCAAGATGAACGTTGTCAACTGACTGATGTAAGACTGGATTGGAATGGCATAGGTGATGACGATGCATGTATGTTGTTTGAAGATGCCCTGACAAAAGAGCATTGTAAGCTAGCTGAGTTGAATCTTAGTTCGTGTTGCTTGACAGATCGTTGCATACCCAGTTTGTGTAAGGCACTGCAAGATGAACGTTGTAAATTAACTAAATTACGGGTGAGCTTAAATCAGTTTACGGGAAAGGGTAAAATGTTACTTGATGATGTACAGGAATATCCAAGTTGTAAAAGCAGAGGTTTACTACTTAAGACTGGTTGGTAAAGTTACGTAACACCTGTACTCTTGTAAATATGAATGTATGTAAAAATTGTAAGAAAGAAATGCTACTGTAAACCACCTTGGTGTCTATTCCAGAATGGAGGGTCTGTGGGTGATTTTCCATCGTTTAGAAAACTAATTTCCATATATATATACTTGAACATCTAGATCAATCACCTGGGCTATGTCCTTGAGCTTTGAACGTTGAAAGAATGTCCTCAATGCGCACTAAATACTCATCTTTAGTTCAAACGTAGCACGTATCATGTGCAGAAGTTACAGAACCTGAAATGACCTAAAAACTCATTGTTTCATCTTATTTCTATTAGGTTCCACACATGAAGAAAGTTCGTTTAAACTGATGCCCGTTTATATAAGCGTTTGGGGGGCCAGTATCTAATGGGCAAAAGGAGAATTTGCCCCCAGCCCTAGATTTCCACCGGCCCAAAAAAAATGGAATAAAAAATAATATATAGTTTCCCTTCAAAAGTTTATATAATGAGATCATCGAATAATTAAACTCGTTGGTTAAAGCAACCCCGCTTACCTCAGTGTCCACAGTAACAAATATAAGCAATGTAGTATTAGAATATCCTCACCGCTCAACGACGTGCACTTTTAATATAAAATATTCCAACCATACGGTCACTTGAACAAAACTAACTGAAACATTTTCTAAGCGGAGGAACTGCAATATAAATTTTATATGTCTGATCTAGCCGGAGAAATCGGACTTTTTGACAGCCACGGGAGAATTCGCATTTTGTGACTGACCCTTAAAATAGTTTTGCCACTGGAAAGGTTAATCCTGCATTGTTGGGGACAAACCTCTACTGGAAATTTAAGCCCAATCGAAAGCCTGGCAATCATAACAGACAACTGGGGCTGCATGATTGTTCAAAAGCAGGTTAGCTTAATCCCAGGTTAACGAAATCTCAAAGCAATCTTAATCCCAACAGCCTGTTTAGAAACATGAAGATAAATTTCCAAAATTCATGTCCGGGATCAATAGAAGTGTTATTTTAGAAGTTTTGAAATAAACAAAAGTGCAAATACATGCACCTAAATAAAAAACAGCGAGTTAAATTTTAGCCAAGGGTTAGAGGTAATCCAGCTTTTAACAGCCGGCCCCTGTAACGTTTGTTACAGGAATCCGCAGCAACTGAATCCCGTTATCCCCGTCACAGAGTCAGACTTGTCCCCAGTCGTTATCAAATTTCAATTTAGCGCGATAATTAGGGACGATATAGGTATACCTCAGCCCGCGCGCCCGTTCTTGGTTTAATGCCGCCTGACAATTGCCTGAATATTGGTGAATACAAAAACGAAATGCTAATAAAGAGGAATTATAAAATAATATAAGATCTGTAAGTATTTATAATGAAAAGCGACTGGGGACGAGTCTGAGGTGAAAGTCATATACAGTAACTAATTGCAGAAGAATTTTATAAATCTTGAGTGTGAATTTATACAGTTATAGACCTAACCAGGAACAGTTGTGAAAAATGCAACTATATAGACCCTCTGGCAGGAATCGAACCTACAGCCCTGTGATTCCGGTGCATTACCTGTACTAAATACTGTTATAGTTGCATTTTTCACAACTGCTCCTGGTTAGGTGTCAAAAATGTGTAAAATTCACACACGAAATTTCCATATAGAAAATCCTTCTCCAATTAGTTCTATCAAGGTGTAGATGCCACCAAATCCTGATATGCAGTAACTAGATGTAGTACCACTTAATATACCTCGTATATTTTTAACATGTAAAAATTTGGTGATCTTGGTAAGGAAGTTTAAATAATCGACGTTTTTAACAAACGTCTTGACTTATTAGGGAATTTAGTTTCGTTCAAACCATTGGTTCAAACCTGTTCCACATGGTCAGTCCAACAATGTCGGATGAAAATTTTGAATAAAGTCAATTTGTCAAATCTGATCCAACATCAGCCGGCATTCATTAGCAAACAAAACCAAACATATCGTGTATAAAAAGACCAAAAATGTTGAATGATCCTACTAAACATGTCATGAAAGCAGACCCAAAAATATCGTGTCGAAGTGTCGAACAATGTTGGATAAAAACTTTGAACAGAGTCAAACTTCAAACTGACCCAAATATTTTGCATCTAACAATGCAGGGACCGGTTGTTCAAAAACCGATTAGCTTAACCCTAGGTTAACAGCTTGTTTTGAAATTTGGAAATATTTTTTCACAAATCATGTCTGGATCAATAGGAGTTTTCTTTTCTGACATTTTGAAATAAATGGACATGTAGAAATATGCAAACTAAAACAGCGGGTTAAATTTTAATCCTGGGTTAGCGCTAATCCACCTTTGAACAACCGGCCCCAGGATGTAATCTTTGAACAGTTTGTGGCAGTGTAGGTAGTGGTAATAATAAGAAAGTTTCAGATTGATAAAGATACAACTAAATGAAAAATACAAGGAGAACTTGAAAGATCTGTGTCAGTGTAGGTTGTGGTAATAATAAGAAAGTTTCAGATTGATAGGGATACAACTAAATGAAAACTACAAGGAGAACTTGAAAGATCTGTACCAGTGTAGGTAGTGGTAATAATAAGAAAGTTTTAGATTGATAGAGATACAACTAAATGAAAAATACAAGGAGAACTTGAAAGATCTGTACCAGTGTAGGTAGTGGCAATAATAAGAAAGTTTCAGATTGATAGAGATACAACTAAATGAAAAATACAAGGAGAACTTGAAAGATCTGTGTCAGTGTAGGTGTGGTAATAATAAGAAAGTTTCAGATTGATAGGGATACAACTACCTGAAAAATACAAGGAGAACTTGAAAGATCTGTACCAGTGTAGGTAGTGGTAATAATAAGAAAGTTTCAGATTGCTAGGGATACAACTAAATGAAAAATACAAGGAGAAC